AAATTATATTTAGATGTGTAAATATTAGAAAAGTATTAGAAAAGTTCTTCTTATATATTATGAAAATTATCTTGTTTTAATCAAGCGTGTTTTACAGATTAAAATTAATTAAAATTTATTTGACAATAATGTTGAAGTGCAATTTTTTGAGTCAGACCTACATATGACTATAACGAAGTACATGTATAAATAGTTGTGTGGCGAAATATTCACGCAGCGTCCTTTCTGTTCTCTGCAGTCTGACTCATGCTAAACATTTTTTTTAAAGTAAAGAATTTGTACAGGGCGCTCCATTCTGTGCACTCTGCGTTTGCATAAAGACGCTGACGTTCCTCGGTTCTGTTGCCTCGTCGCAAAACGCCCACCCACGCATTGCCTTAGGCTGTAGGTATATACAGGGTGTCACGAGGGTGCATTGATCGCTAAGCATGAGAGTTTTAGATGAGAGTGACGCCCAGAAGGCTACTGTATTTTGCGAGACGAGGTTAAAGATTTAGTTCTTCGTTAAGTGTTATTTTAACCGAAATGAAGTACAAGCAAAATTATTTAAATTGAAAGAAACGTACACTTCCTCTCTTTTTCTTTCTCTTTGTGACCCACATTTTCTACTTAAAATTGAAGAATAATTCAGATGCTACTATTGTTGAAGTATTATAAAGTCTCTTTTGTTACACACTTATTTTATTTCACGTTTACACAGGCAGAAACAATTTAGAAGATTCTTCACTGACAATACCCTTGTCTCATTCCTTGCATTACAGCGGAACATTTCCCTTGCGTTTTAACACACGGCGGAGACATACATCAACTTCTTAGTTGTTCCAGCGACGAAAGATCCATTCATTTCTTTATATAAGTTCCCACTGAATGCATAAATCGTTTCTCGATGCTGTTGTTTCGTCGCGAGACGCGGTGCATTAAACATAATGCATCAGGTATTCCGCGATTTAATTCAATGGGTTATATGTGGCATAGAGAGAGTTATGATTTTACATTCAAACAGTGCTAATAATAAAAAGAATTAATGTAATACATATAATAATAAAAAATATAAAATCTGAAAGAGATATTAAATTGTAATAAATATATAGATCTTATCGTTCTAATAATTTCAGTTAGAGTTATAATACCGTTTTACAGGTCACGTGAACGTAGATGAGTAAATATTATCATGGCGTAACGCGCATATTTTATATGGCATTCAATCATAGTTTAACCTTTATTATTGTGCCGTGGAATCGTACGAGGGAATGGGAAAAAAGTTGTGCCTGAGGCATTGATTTTTAATCATCTGCGTTGTACTTATGATATCGGTATGCAAAATGTCAACGACGAAAATCGGTCGATGTATCAGACAGAAATTCATAAGTAATTCATGCTTATTTAATCGATATACATAAACGGTACAAATACATTTCGGAATAAATATACAACACGAATAAATAATAAATATATTTGTGAAAGCGATGTGTCTCCTATATACGTGATACATCGCGTGACAAAATCAACAGCGATGTAAAACAAGGTCAATCAGTTTTATTCAGTTAATTTTGAATTATGATTATATTTAGTTATTACGACGGTCATTTGATAATTCATATTATTCGTATCTTATCTTCAATTATTTTTTATCAACTAGTGAACTTTGTGAATTAGAAAATTGTTTTATTTTGTAATACTTTACCTTTGAATATGATACTTTTATTTTTATTGCGATAAACTCAGTTTTATCAACAATATTGCTGTATAAAATACTGATTTTATCTACGCTGTATGTAAGATGTAAGCACGAAAAGTAGAGAAATATAAAAGAGAGAATAACTTCAGGCGAAATTTCTTGATTATGATTTCATTAAAACTTCATGAGACTTTACCCAACGGAGATAATTTTGTAACCTGTAATAGTTATACTAAACTTGACTTGGACGATGGTTAAAAAAAAGAGAGGAAGAGAGAGGGAGATCGAATATGTAAAAATAATATATAATATATATACAAATAATATATAATCAACATTTCAACATTTTTAATAATTATAAAACTCACATTTTGTTTCGCTTTTCGATATCTTTTTATTTTGTTCGTTATCTATCTTCTTCCACCGAAGAAGAATATTTTTACAAATACAAATAAATTGAGTTAAATTCCAAAATCAGTTCTATATGTATATTAGTTTTATGAATAATTTTTAATAATAGCTGCTTGATTTTATTAGAGTATATGCGCGGTCTGCAATCCGTTATCATGCAGGACGGAAGTTTTATGTAAGGTTGGCGCCGTATTTTCAAACTCATTATCTAAAGCGGCTGCACGCCCGGATAGAAATTTCTCCAGGCTTTTCAGACACACCCGCACTTGATAAAACATTTTCCGCGATATACAAGCACGGGGGTTTATCGGTGTTTGGATTAGCTAGCGTGAAAATAAAGGTCGCGTTGATTTATGTTGACGGAAGAATTTATGTTTCATAAATTGCGCATAACGTGTTTGGTAAAATATCCAGTATACCGCTGTATTTTTTTTCATTTTGCAGCGATCGCGATTCTTTGACCATAATACAAAACAATCGTTAACGTTCGTCTTGAATAAAAGAAGCGATAACTTTTCATAACTTTTTTATTTATCATCGGAATTATCTTCGACAGCAAACTTTTTTTATTGCGTTTTTATTGCATTTCTCTTTTTCAATTTAACTCGAGTGCAACGTAAATATAAGATAAGCACACGTTAGGTCGTCTCACGCCAGAAAGTTAATAATTAAGACTACGTACACACATTTCGAGTGCAATAGGATGCAAGTCGAACAAAGATCCGAGTGTTCGTGGACCCTCGTCAAATTCAATGTTGATCGCAATCAATATAGTCACGCTGCTTTTTTCGGCAACGAGTGTGAATGGGGTGTTTCTGTCCACATTACTCGATCGTTTCATTCACACGTCGGATGAGTATTACGTTCGATTTGCATTCATCCATTCCGTTAGCTATCGCAAACAATACGATCTCTATCGCTCTTCCCATATGTCCTCCTCTTCTCTCGTTCCTTACGATGCATTTATGCATATATGGTATGCATATGCACCTGTACAATACGGTCTTAGTAATTCCGATTCGATTTTCACTGCGCGTTGAAATACGCTTCGGTAAGTCTCGTGCATTTTGTAATTCTTGTATCTCTCCAAGATTTGAAACAACGGGACAGAGTGCTAAAAATGTATTTTAATGCGGTTACGAGACAGTGGGGTGGCTATTACTGTCACTGCCTTTTTAAATCGGTCGTATATATTTATAGAGCGCCAATCAGCATCGTCGCAATCAACTCGCATGTAAAGTATTGCGAAATTTAAACCACAAGGACGAGGTTGTCGTTCATAATTTAAGCTCTTTAAAGTTATCTCTTTTATATAATAATAATAAAAAAATCCGATATTCCATTATGCTTTTAAAGTGAATTGCATATATGCATGCGATTTAAAAAAAAATTAATATAAATTGAATCTTATTGTGTGGTATAAAACGACGGAGAAAGTTAGGTATATAATTAGCATTTATAGCAAGATTTTTCCTTATTTCGCACATTCTTGTGCCACCGAATAAAATCGCAGCATTTGTAAAAAACTATTTAAAAATTATAAAATTGATGATTCCACATTTTTGTGACATTTTTTATAACGTTGTTTGCATATCGCAATTTTTTACGCTAAAAACTACATGATATATATCTCTCTCTCTTGAATATCTTATATATTATTATTATTATTATTATTATTATTATTACAAAATATATTTTAGCTAGTGTATTATTTATTGCAAAGCGCGTATGTATTTTTCATTTTGTTATTTTAAGGACTAATCAATTTAATGTTTATTATGTTTCTTTTAATAACTAATTTATTGTATATTATACGCATACATCAATATAATTTAAAACATCTTTTTTAAATTATATCGAATTGAAAGTTAAACTTTACGAAAACTAGCTATTTGTGGAGTGTACATTTTTGGAAAGGGCAGACCCTCTCTCTCTCTCTCTCTTTCTCTCTCTCTCTCTCTCTTAACTCATTCATCGAACCGGAAGTTTCTGTTTAGTCGTTCTGGTTCAGTGATTTCCTGGTTTTTTGTGATCTTTTTCTCTGCAGCAACGGCATGTAGAATATATCTGGTATTGGTAATGGATTTTACATATAGATATTATTTAGATAGGGAGAGAAAAACAACATATTTTCAATTTTTTGTAAAATTTTATAAGAAAAAAATTATTCTGTTTCTGAAAATTGGACATTTTTAATACATTTACATTTTTTTGAAAAGTTAAATAACTTAAAAATTTGATTAACTGTTTAGTCTCTAATGTTTCTCAGGATAATGTCGTGAGATTAAAAGGTACAGTTAAATCTAACAATAAATTTTTCCTTTGATTATAAATGATAATTAACACGCAACACATTATAATCGTGAATGGACTTTTATCAGTAATCCGGTATTATTTTTTACTGCACTTTATCTTTACAAGCATCGATAAATCTCGTTCGGATGCTGCCGTAAAATCGCGAAGAAGGGAATACGAAAGTCGCGAGAGGAATTTCTAATCATGAGAAGCCAAACAAACTACTTGATAGCGCTGTAGCACTTTGAGATTTTATCCCTGATTTGATATATGCATTCTCTTAGAAAGGAAATGCCGTGTTACAGCTCAATGGATTTAAGGAAATGTCTTTCACCGGAATGTTTTGAATTTTAATTCAATGAAGCGCGTGTTGAATACGTGATATAAGATGTTTAAATATATTGATGGCCTAATTTGTTCTTAAAAAATTTTATTTGTTATGCATTTAATGCACATTTTATAATATATATTTTACTCAAGAATATTACAAAAAATATAATGTGCATGCATAATTAGAAGGTGAAAATATAATTTAAACAATAATATCTGTTATAATTTACACATAACAAAATATACATATATATTTTTTATATAAGTATATAGATAAATAGGACCATAAGGACAATGCTGGTTTGACTTTTGCTCTTTGGAAGAAAGACTTCAAAGGGAACTAATTTGCATACAGAGAGCTCAGTGAATTCGAAAATTTGTGTGCAGACTCTGCACGCGCGTCGCTTCTTTCTTTTCTCATGTGAGCGGATGTACTTGCTTATTGCACACGTGAATTTTAAGTTCTTCTCAGGAATAGTAAATTATTCAAAAGCGCGATAAAAGTAAGAAATCTTCGTAAGAGTGTAATAAAAGTAAGAAATCTTTATAAGAGTGTAATAAAATAGATTAGATAATGTCCAAATGGAGATGTACTTTGATAGGTATATCATTATCTGTTGAATATCTGTATGAGCTTTCTTTATTGTTTCTTTATACTATGACGGTAGTTTTATGTTGTCGACAACATAGCATTGTCTGCAATATAAGAAAAATTACTAAATTTAGTTAACAGAGAACAGGAGTAATTTATAAATGTTCAAAGCATTTTAGTAATATGTTATATTACCTTCAGTACTTGATGAAATTCTTTAGATATTATGAAATATATTATTGGCAGGATCATCGGATATATTTTCACCATCGTATAAACTAACTCTATCGTCGTATCGCTACAGCAAGAGATTGTTAAGAGATCAATAGCTCGTACGATTCGATATGGTATCATAGTTAGAAAAAATCCAGTAGTAATACCAACTGTAAAATAAATATTATTTTGAAATTTGCGGATGCTCGAATAAATTTTATTTGCATTAATATTAAATCTCCACTTACCCAGAAAAGTGAAACGTTCGATATCTTTACTTGGCCACGTTCCGATTATTGATTTCGATATTACCAGATCGTACAAAATGAAGCAGTCAAGCATAATAAAAATAAAACACGGGAATATTAAAAACATAACGGTGGATGACACGTAGATGTCGTATACAATTTCTTTCTCAAAATGATCGTAGAGGTGTAGTTCCATAGCTGTCAGCATAATGCACATTATCCATATGAACAAGATGCCTTTTATAGCTGTTGAAATTTTCACGAATGATTTGTGAAGGGGCCCATATTTCTGGCAAATAACAACATACGCTTCGATATTTAGTATAATTATCGTTAGGATAGATGCGCCGAAGCTCACTAAAAATATGTAGTCGAGATTCATCATCAGATTTATCTTGAAAATCCAGCGAAATACTTGCTGAAACGGCTCGAGTAGGATTGTCAGATTTGATAATGCCAGGCTCACTATATAGCAGTTGGTGGAGTTGTACATAGAAGAATTTGATACGATAATGAGAGCCAGCAAAGCGTTTAGGCTGGTGCCTCCCACCAGCAACGTAAAATCCATGATATTACGCACGGGCTCAGGAATTATCGGTATAATATTGTTCATTTTGGTAGGATTCGTTGCTGCAATAGGATCCGTTTGAAAATGCGGGAACGGATCCTCTAGATATGTGTGAATTTCATTTATATCGTGTCTATTAAACATGATATAACAAGTTTATAAAAAAATTTATCGCTTGACTTATCACTTATGATAATCGACAAATCCGAATCTTTTATTAATCAATCATGCACTATGAAAGATTCTGTATGCACAACTTGCTTTAAAATTTGCTTTAAAAAAATTAATACACTTTTTGTTGAGCGTAATAAGCTTTCTATGATTTATATTGCTGGAGGAAGCAGTGAAATAAAATGAACGACAAAATACATGTTGCTTCAACGATCAACACGCATATTACTGACTGACGCATATGACGAGACGGTATAGTTTGTAGGATCACCACCTACATATTTACCTTCCCCTATATGTGATGCCCTACAATATCATAGAACACTGTCAAGTAAGTAACGATATTAATTTGCTGGCACGCAACCATTTCATTTAATAGAGTGGCTCTTTAATGAAGTGCAAGTGTCTCGCTTCATTCTAACGGTGCTCATACATCAAATAACTATGTAATAAATCTATTATTTTGACAAATATATATATTTACTGAAACTGTTACGCTTTGCTAAAATTATAAATATGAATCGAGTTTCATTGATTACGAAAACGAGATATTATTGAAATTTATTCATTTTTATCGCAAATAAATACACCATTGTTTAATTTCTGTACATTAATAACAAATGTTCGGCCATTTGCATAATAAAATGTGTGAGTAAATATAAAAGCATGTCGAACATCTCGCGCGGAGAAGTTATGGACTTCTTTATTTACGAGGATGGACCGTCCTTGTGGACTCCGTTCGTAGGGCTTTGCTTTCTGGCTGCAAATAACGACCAAGTAGCAAATAAAAAAAATGACGATGCTTAAATAAATCGTGCTTCTTACGACTCGTTCGTTCGAACAAGAGAAGAGGTGAGCAAAATAAGGGAAGAGAGAAAGAGGGAGACTTCTGCACGCGACTGTATAATACAATAAGATTTACAGGACGCCTCTGGCAAGCGGCCATGGGCTCGATATCGGTCAGCTTTTGCAGCTGATAGATTTATCGTTGGATTTATAAATCCAGCCCCTTTGGCACATCGGGGTTTTGTATCTTCCTGCAAAATTGAGCGCGACTGCCTGGCGCATTGTGTGCTCCGAAGACGCTCGCAATCGACACGTTATCGAAAAGAAGTAGTTGGGCGTGTCGTCCATTCTCATCGAGAGAATGGAACGAATTAAAAATTGCTCGGGCGGGGTCGGATCGACAGGACAAATATTTATCGCACTATATTCGCGACATTAATATATCTATTCAATTCCCGAATATTATAGAAGCAGTTAAAATTTTTCAGCGAAATTTATCATCGCGGCGCATAGCATCATGTATTATTTATAGCCTCTATGCATATAGTAATATTCGCTTACATGTTTATGCAATGACGATTATTTATAGACGTCTTCTTTACTCAGATGTAGATGATAGCTGGAAGCATTTATAAAACTTTGCAGCTGGTCGGAGCCTCTTCTCCTCGCGGCAGAGGCTTCTGAACCAGTTTGACTACGTGTTTTCATCTTTGGACCAGGTGCGAGGGAGCGCGTGGTTAATTTTTGCGGGTTCCTTCGCGCCCTTTTTTCTTCTTTTCGTCTGCTTCGGGATCGGGTTAGTGATAGAGGGTGATCTCGGGACCAAATAAGTGCAGTGGCAGGGCCGAAGGGCCCCGAGGCCACAACCGGTTCGCCGCTTGAGCATCATTACGACGTAACTCGAGCGACCCTGAGGAGGCTTCGAGCTTCACAATAATCAGCGAGCTGTATTATCACCGTGGAATAACAACATTCCAATGATGGCCTCAAAGGTGTAAAGTAGTCATTGTATGAAAGAGTCTAATAAAAGACATTATATCATGGTATTTTACCATCACAGTTACTTAAAAAATTAATTGATAAAAGTCGGATATATTCGATATTGAGTATGTTTTTTTATTATTATTTAATTGTTCTTATTTTGTTATCTCTTGTGTTTGTTTATTTATTTTTGTAATTATAATTATTTTGTTAAAACTTAAAATATCTTTTATTTGATCTTAAATCATAGATTTATATTAAAATGTGTGATTAATTAGTATATGATCGATATTCCATTTATATCTTCCTGCTTTATATTCGATTAGAAATGCGCATAGAGAAAATGCATTAGATTAATTTGCCATCGACCTGTCAAATCATACGAAAATTCATATTGGGATTGGTTATTTAAATGTTTGGCGCACCTTCTGTTAGGTCACACCTGTTAGGTTCTGTCGACCTGTTTCGCACGAAGTGGTCGACCATTAGTTGAAGCCAACTATGCCGTGACAATGTTTCCTTTCTATGTTTATCATATAATCAGTCATGATTAGTCTGTCGTAGCGTACTATTACGCATATTTTCCTACATCTGTATTATTTATGAGTTAACATACCGCACGAATTAAATCATCGCATTGCGCTGTGGTTTTATCAATGAATATTTACTCGTACAGCTATAGTAGGTATATATATAAAAATTTAGCATACGTATATTTAGATTTTTATTTACGGTATTATTTATGAATCTGAAGAGGTTTTTATTAGAATAGGAATAAGAAGATAATTCACGTTATGTAAATTCCGCGCTGTGGTGATATAAAAGAATAATTTATTAAAAGAGCGTACGTTTTACCGCAATCTCGCGCACCTCCAAGTGTTTCGCTCCTGTTGGTCCTCGTGTCAATAGACTCAATGTATTTTATGCATGACCAGTCAGACAAGTTTTTCCGACAGGAGACCGCAAGCACGATGCACAGCTCAGTTACATTCGATACTTTGCACGCAGGTGCATCGTTGAAAAAATTTGCGGATTTATGCACGAGGCGTTTTGATTGTAGCAAAAAAATGGCTGGATAATATAGCTTAAAATTTTAATTATATATATATTAAAACAATGAAGAAAATAGTTTTTTTAAATGCACATAATAGCATTTTTCCAAAATAATTCTCGAGACTTATATATACAATTTTTTAAAAGAATAATCTTCAGATTTTTTGATGAAAAAAAAAATATATGTATATATGTGTGTGTGTGTGTGTTTTATTTTTATATTTTTCTAATATTAGTATTACGTCGGACTGTCATGAGTGTGATATAATGTGTTAACGATCGCATGTTTCGGTGGGTAATTGCACGTCGAACACAAAAGTAGCCTTCTGAGAAATTCGATTGCGGGCAGTTTTTGAAAAGAAAAACGTATATTAACAAAAACGCGCACCTGTGCGAGCACTCTAAGTAAATTACAATAATTGATTTTTTTTAAAGTTGTTTGAAAGCACGAAAAAAGGGAGCCGTGTGGCTCAAGTCTTTTTGCTCATATAAAAGATGATAGATGCCGTGCTGAACTGTGATTGGACCGGTTTCAAAGGTTTTATCATTTAATTGGGTTCAAAAATCATACCGTATAAAATTATGCAGAGCTGAAATATTAATATAATATAATCATAAATTATTTTTTACACATTAGAACACTGAAAAAAATTATTAAATTAATAAATATTTATTTCAATACTGCCTAATCAATCATTTATTTAAAACAAATAAATATTTATCAGTTTTGTAAAAGATTTTCTCATATCAAATAAATATTTTTCATATCAAATCAATATTATTAGTTTCAAATTAATGATTTATTAGGTAGTATTGAAATAAATATTTATTCGAATTCAATAAATTTTTTTTAGTGAAATAGCAAAATTGAATCGATCCCTTTCAGGAGCTTAAGCTTTTAAACTCGAAGTTTGATAGATGTGCTATGTGTTTAATTTGCAATGTATCGATTACTTTGCGAGTTATTTGTCATTGAGGGAGAAACTTTTGATTTCATAAAGATCAGAAAAAAAGATTAGTGCGTAATTTTTGTCTATCTTCTTTTTTTCCATATATAATCGTGGATATTATCATATATGAAACAATCGCAAAACCAAAATTGTCTTTTTAAATTATTTATTCATTTCATTATTATTGTTATCGTTTTTAATCTTATTTATTTATTTTACTATCACATTTGCATCTTTCCAAGACGTTCTCCGCTGTAAGGTATCTTCCCGTGCTACTTCGTCATGTTCGCACAAACGTAAATATAGAGCCATAATAATCGGTGCTTTTACAGGAAAGCCGCATAGATAAACCGGGAACTAACTCACGTTAACTCGCTTCACACGGTCGTGAAGTACAATGCGATTCATAATTAATTCGTAGGCGTTTACCGACGAAATACATGCGAGATTCATTCGTGGGGTAAACGTAACTGCGAAAGCTCGGTTGAAACGAAAAGTAGCGAAATTACATAAAGATATGCCTGTGCTGCGCAACGTCTAGTGGTTACACCGACATTTATGTGTAATAGAATATAGGATGTACATCTTTAAAATCTTATTGAGCCATCTCTTTCCACAATATACATATATATATATACATGTGTAATTATTCCATAATAATAATTTTATAATTACTCTAAATTGTCGTCGGAAAGAAAAAAATATATTTCTATACTTATTACGTAGATAAAATTCTTTAAAAATGTAAATTTTAGCTTTGAAAAGCGATCTAATGAATCTGCTTTATTTAATACATCATCAGATTAATGTCCAATTTCTGCAACAAATTTTTTTATTTTTTTTTTTCGTTTACTCTCACTATTTCGCATCTGCCATATAAACCGCGAACCATAATCGAAAAGCGAATTATTCCTGCGAATGAAGAATGTCCCGTTCTTTCCCGTCGCAACCAACATCGCCAAGGCTTTCTTTCGCGGCGGATTCTGCCAACTTTCTTCTTCCGCAATGTTCATGTATTGTTATTTGCGTCGACTGCGGTCGTTATTGCAGGAACAAATTTCATCGCTCTACGCTCGCAAAAACGTTACAATACATCACGATAATACGCTAACGTAGAGAAATTTCGGCGAGAACAGGACGTAAGAAATAGGAGAGGGAAAAAATTAAATTATTTATGCATTTATTATTATTATTATTATTATTAGCATATGCATAAAGATTCTATATATCAAAATTTTACTGCATGATGCGATAAGTCATTTGTGCGATTACGATAAAATGATTGTAAATTTTCTGTGAAATCAGTTGACTCAGAATTTCAATCTTCAGCTTTCAGTTTGTTTATTAAATAGCTTTTATTATGCTATTTATAAGGATTTATTTATAAGGATTTTTATGATTAAAGTTATAGCCGCCAAATGGCTCTACGCATTAAACTCGTTGAATT